TAATGAAAAAAATGGATTATTTAGGTATATAACCACAAGAAGTGCTAAATCAACGTAACAAAAGTTTAGCATCATATATTGTTCACAAGGCATATTACAGATGATTTTTCAATCTAAATACAAATTACACATCATGTTGGTAGAGTCAAGGTCCATCTACAATTGCCTGTTGGTGGTCAAGCGAAATTTCTCCAATTCTGCAAAGTCAAAGTTAAAGTTAAGAAGAAACATGTTGGTATTTAACAGTGCCAGAAATTACCAATAACAAAAAGAACAAAAAAGAACACGAAGGATTTTACGCCTGTAGGCCCGGATGTTCACCAAGAATTTGGCTACTCACCCGTTGAGCATTCACCTAAGTGAATAACGCTCTAATCCACTAGAATCAACAAAGTTTATCAAATACAAGAATTAGAGACTCAAGAATCACTCGAATCAACCCTCAGCCTTAAACTCTCATTTTCTCCCTTTTGTAGATTACACCAAGTAACCAAAACTTCTGCTCACCAAGAATCAGAAGAAAACACAAACTAGAAACTGTAATCTACACTAGATATCACAAAAATCATCTACCCTCAAAGATTACAGACTGAAAACCAAAAAGTTTCCACTAGAAAGAAAGTACAGAAAACATCGAAGGAGAGAAAACCAAGAATGGAAGAGTCTGTAGAACTTAAAAGAGTCATCATGCATCCAACGGTTGTGACAGCACCACGTGTCACAATCTCAGCCAACTTGTACCAACAAACCAAAAATGTATTTTAAGTAAAGTGCGAGAATGTACGGTAATGGGCTACTCGAGTCACATTCATCAAGGCAATTGGGCTGACATAATTGGGCTGAACACATAAGATGTTAAGCACATTTTTAATAATCTCCACCTTGCTTGACATCATCGGGTTTCATGTGGATTAGAGGCTAATACTTCGGTTTCATTTGCTCGGGTACTTGGAAGAATATTAGTTAGAAATAACATTTTGAAGATTTAAACAATCCCTAAATTTATTTTAGTTCTCATATTTGCTGGGTTACACCTAGTAGAAATCATCTCAATTTTTATAATTTCATTTTTTATGATATCTCTTATAAAATGAAATTTAACATCTATATGTTTTGTCTTATCATGAAAAATTGGATTTCTACTAAGGTGTATAGCAGATTGACTATCTGAATATATAGTAGCATTATTACCAAAGAAACCAATTTCATCCAATAAATTTTTCTCTATATGTTTTGTCCTATCGTGAAAAACTGGATTCCTACTAAGGTGTATTGCAGATTGACTATCAGAGTAAACAGTAGCATCATTACCAGAGAATCCAAGTTCATCCAATAAATTTTTCAACCAAATATCTTCCTTCACAGCATCTGGGGCTGCAATATACCCAGCCTCTATGGAAGAGAGAGCAACTATTTTTTACAGCTGTGATTTCCAGCTTATACATGTATTATTAGCAGTAAAAACATATGTAGAAGTAGATTTTCTATTGTCACAATTTCCAACAAAATCAGAATCAACAAAACCTTTAAGTTGAATTTCAGATTCACCTTTGCAGAACATTAAACCCAGTTCAGAAGTTCCTTTTAAATAATTCAGAAGCCATTTTAATGCTTCCCAATGATATTCACCAGGATTACTCATATATCTACTC